AAAAAAAAAAAAAAAAAAAAAAAAAAAAAAAAAAAAATATATATATAAAAAAAATATATACACATACACTTATTTATTAAATGTATATACTGACCCTCTCATTAATTTATATACTGTCCCTCTCATATTCATATTGTGTGGGAAATTATTAATTTATTGAATAAGAGTTTTATAGAAAGTGGCTTTCTAGCCTAATATAGATTACTAAGCATAAATTTGCTGTTCTTAACCACTGAGGCTTTGGCATCTTAGCATAAATAACCATACATTAGCATAAATAAATAAATAAAATTCAAGTTGATCATTTCCTTAGGTGATGATTGGACAGTTTGGATATATAAGATACTATTTGAGAAATTGTGGTGAAGATTATTTTTTTCTACCATTAAATCCCTTTCTTTTGCTTTATTGCATAGAAATTTTCTCTTTCAGCAGCTTACAATGGACCATAAGTTTAATGTTTCAATAAAGCTTTCAGAACTTTCATTCTTGTGTATTTGCCTCTTGAAATAAGACAGGATGGATTCACTTGGGAGCAGCTAGTGGGAAACATGCATGAAAATGTCCTACAAGATTCATATGCTCTACTTTGTACCACTTTGCTGCTGAAATTTATACAGAGATGCTCCAACAAAAACTGTTATTAGAAGTGGGAAGAAGAAGCTGATTCCTGATTTTCATTTCTTCTCATATACCACAAGAGATACAAGGCTACTGATTCAAAAATACAGCTTCCACCTCTGTGGTTAGTTAGAATTCACTAGTTCAGTTTGTGTGAATATGTGTTCTTATGCTTAAAATGAGCATAAAGTTATTAGGTTACATTCCACTTGTGAATTCTCCTTAGGCTTTCCCACCATGAAATAGTAATTTCCCAATTATCTAATAACCACAGGCTTTATCTTTGATTACAGGAGTTGACCCTTTCCTGTTTCTGCTGACTATAATTATAGCCCTATTGGATTTCATGGTCAAGGTCTATAGTAGCTTATTTCCAGTAGTGGCATTTGACCGGTTCTGCCTGGTTCTGGAGAGCCGGTAGCAGCTATGAGCAGTGGAGACCGAACTGGTTCTCTTCGCTGCTCTGTGTTTGGCCCATCTGCCTGCCTGGGCTCCCATACTCACTTTTATGGCCAGAATTCAAAGTGCAGCTGCTTTGCGTGGCGCAGAATAGTGCCGCGTGGCAGCTGCTGCAGCAACCAGTATCGTGCAGGCTTGCAGGAGGCAAGTTAGAACACCTCTGCGCCTGCGCAAAGTGCGTGTTTGGCGTGCGTGTGCACGCAAAGCGTGCAAGCGTGCAAAGCGTGGCCACCAAGCCATGCCCACCGAACAGGTGGCAACTTTATTTGAATACCACCACTGCTTATATCTCAACAACAATAACCAAAGAATTGAATTCTCTGGATCAAAATTGTTTTGAAGAATTCTATAGCAGGGTTACAAGTATCTTCTCTCTTGTACCCAGAATAATAATACTCATTGCTGAGATGGACTATGAACACAATGTGATGTTACAGTTTGCTTTTCTGGAACACATGTGCCCCACATAAGAGTCACAAAGACTTCAGACAGTAATTACTAAAACCCCCCTCAAAAAAAAAAAGAGAGCTAATTATACATCATCTATTCTTCAGAATTTAGCTTGCTTAGCAACCAGTTTCCAAGCAACTGGTGCCGAGTCTAGTCTTGTTATATGATGCATATTTAAAGGATGCAGCTCATCTTTGCCCCTTCTATCCCTGTCTCTGCCCAGTGATAAGAATAATGAGCAATTTATTTATTTATTTAAAACATTTATATAGTCGACCATCTTTTAAACAACTGTAAGAAAAGTAATCCCGGGATTGTGGTTGGCTCCTAAAGGTGTATTTCTTTCATGTCTATTTTTACCCCCACCCTTCCCCAAATTTGAATTTTCTTGCCCAAAGCTCTGGAAATTGTGGTGGTTTCTTATCCAAGTATTTCCCAGGTCTGATATTATTAGCTCAGTTTTCCTCAGCCATGGCAATTTTAAGTTATATGGGCTTCATTCAACTCCTAGAATTTTTCAACCAGCCATGTTGGCTGGAGAACTCTGGGACTTGAAGTCCACACATCTTAAAGGATGCCACTGGCTTAGCTTTTTGAGATCAGCCAAAGTTGGCTGGTACTGCCCCTCGTGGGGTAATAATAAAAGTTATAAGAACAAATAAAAGATTTGTCACGTTCAAATGTGTCAAAAAGTTACAAATCGAAGTGTTTTAAAAATGCTAAGTAATTATTACATAGATAACTAAAGAAAATATAACAATATTCTTCAAGAATCCTCATTTTTGTTCCCCATTAAAAATAGATTAAATAAAATATTAAATAAATTTAAACAAAAAAGGAGAAAATGTTGGCTTCACATATTCTGTATTTAAGATTCTTAGTCTATGATTTTTGTAAGGTTCCAGGAATTTTGTTTTATTTTGTGAATGAAGAAGTTCCTGCTGCTAAGGCAAGCTTTTTAAGAGTTCATAACATATTTTTTAACTCATATAAAACTTGTACAGCCTGACTATGCAGAGGATTAGAGTTTTTTCTTAACATCTGACTATTCAAGAAGACATTTGGAATAACTCTGATCCCAGTTACTGACAACTCTCTTATTGCTGTGTACCTGACTTCTCTTCATATATTCTAATAACCATTTCCCGTCTCACATTTACATGATATTTAAATTACATTACTGTTAACAAGATCATATAAAGTCTGGTAATCAACAGTTTAATACTGTATTAGATTTTGTCTTCATTAGATTTAATATAAAGAATAATTAATTGCTGATTAAATGGGAAGATTGAATAACCTTACTGATCACAAATGTTAGTCAGCAGAATATTTATGATAAGCAATTACTATTCACAAGAAGATCTATGAGAATTTCCTATTAATAAGCATCAGTACTAGTGGAGAGAACATTGAAAAATTGAAATGCTTACCTAAACTTAGATTTAGAAATCCGGTGCCTGAAAGGAAAACAAATCATTATGATAAATACATGCTGTAATTTCTTAACTTCAACATAATTAAAAAAGAATGAGCTACAAAGCTATTAAAAACTAGCATTGCTACTATTTGTCCTAACGCCTAAATACTTTAGTATAACTAGTTTCTGCTTATACATCATATTTGAGAGGGTGTCTGCTGGGTAGGGAAGAGTGATATTACCAGAGGTGGTATTCAGCAGATTCTGACCAGTTCTGGAGAATCGGTAGTAGAAATTTTGAGTAGTTCGAAGAACCGGCAAATACCACCTCTGACTGGAGATTTTACAATATCCTTTCCCTGCCATGCCCACCAAGCCACACCCACAGAACCAGTAGTAAAATATTTGAATCCCACCACTGGATATTACATGTGTTATGACATTATCACATAAATTATATTCATTCACATCATTAAACTGTCAGCTTTGGAAGTCATATTGAGATCCAATGCTCCCATGCTGCCACAATTGAGCCTGTCTCGGAGTTATTGGACGGAATGGAGGGTTGCTGGAACACTGACATAGACATGTGACACCATCATGCTTTCTCTTTGTCACTACTGTATATTAACGACATTCAGCCATCTCAGACTGTTGGTATACACTATAAGGCCCATGCCATATTGGGTCATCATTTCAGCAAATAAGCAATGGGAATCAGAGTGATTTCTGACTTCCTGCTGATTTCCCATTAACTTTGCTTGTGGGGAACTGGCAGGGAACATTGGAAATCACAATCACTTGACCATGGGTGACCATGGTGGTGTGGTGGCACTGCACTAGTCACAGGTTTTTGAAGACAACAATTCTGAAGCTCCTTGAAATTCCAATACTTGAATTCCAATTTCAAGGAATAATAGGTCCTGGATTTTGGATCCATTCCTGAAGTTTGCCCATTTGTGGTGCCTTAAGTTCCCCTCTGATGCATCATTTGGATGAACTGAAGATTACAAATAAACATGCAGGAGAAGGTTTTTTTAGTAGTATATAGATAGTATGAAGTTCTTTTCTTGCATCCAGGTTTAGTAAACCAGCTGGTAGCAAAGAAAGAGGCAGAAGGGGCAACAATGTGAGCCACAGCTACGGAACAAATATGATGAGCAATCAAGCTAAGGGTGCTTGCACTTTCTTTAAAAATACTATAAGCACTCATGCATATCTGACAAGCTCCAGAAACTAATTAACTGAATTCCAAGCTTTTTGTCCCTCTATGGATTAGAAAATATGCTAGTTATTTCATAACAAATGGATCCAAAAAAACAAAAAACAAATATATCACCATTAGAGTCTAAACTTTTAAAAATGAATATATCTTTCATGTGGTCTTATATACACTTGGTCATACAAGGGCTAGTAATTTTACACCTACATACTCTTATTGTGAGAATAACAGCAATCCATCAGGTCTGGAGAAAACAGAAATAACTGTAAAAAATGATTCCAATGATGAGCCAAAGGGAGTAGTAGAACTCTCTGAAGAAAAATATCTACGTTGCTAGATGTTAAACATGATTTAACCTGAAATTCTGGATAATGGAATGTGATCATTTGGGATGTTGCCATGCTATTTGATCAAGGAACATTCACATGAAGAAAAGTAGTTGTCATAAATGTGATGAAGAAGTAATAGGTCTTTAGTAATCACATTTTTAAAAAAATGGCAGATATCATGAAAAACAAATTGTTTATAGTTTAAAAAGCAAACAATAAGCAAGTTCCCATTATTGTTTACTGCCTTTCAATGTGAAACATTGGGGTTTTATAAACCATTCACTGATTGATTATGTCATCAAGCTGGTGTCAATTTTTAGCAATTACATTGTTTTTGTCTAGATATGTCCCCAATCTGATCCTTCAAGACTTCCAGAAGTACATCCATTGCATCCATCCATATAATTGAGTCCATCTACCTCGCTGCTGGTTGTCCTTTTCCCTTTCTTTCCATCTTTCAAATGCTATAGATGTCTAGAGAGCTATGAGTTTTCATAATGTATCCAAAATATGCTAATTTGAGCCTGGTCATTTGTACCTTGAGTGAAAACTCTTGATTTGTTTGTTGATCCATTTGTTGTATCTTGGCTATACACGGTATTTTCTCAGGAGTCTTCCCCTGCCTCATAGTTCAAAGGCATTCATTCATACTCTTTCTATCCTGCTTCTTCAAAGTTCATCTTCCACTTGCACTGCATGCATCGTTTTTATCTCTATAGTTATTCATCACAGCCTCAGAATATAATTTCTAAAATGTTTATTGCTACCTACTAAGTGTTAATCTGCAACATACAGTATGTTTGGCTTCCTCACATGCATATAATTAGATGTCCTTGTATTCTCATTTTTCTAAGGACATCCCACATGACATGGTCAACAATATCAAAGGTTTTTCTATAATTAATGACACAGATATTGACTTCTTTTTAGCTCTCTCAATTATGTGATGTGCATCTGCAATAATGTTTCTTGTTGTTTGGCCTTTTCTAAAGCCATATTAAACATCTGGCCTTTTCTGAACATCTGGCATCTCCCTTTCCATGTAAAGCTCTAGTCTGCATTGGATGATTCTAAGTATTATTTTGCTATCATGGGAAATTAAGGATAGTGCCCAATTGTTTGCTGTTAATTCTTTCTCTTTGGTATTCTTCCAATCTGCTGGCCATTGTATTATCCCCACATTTGCTGGCATAGTTTGGTTGGAATCATTACAAATTATTTTCATATTTTTGTAGCTATTCTATCAATTCCTTATATACTTCCAACTTGGTAATGACCAGAAAGCCAGAGTTACTTCATCTTCTTATAATTTTTAGAGAACTTTTAAATAGGGAATGTCTTGAAATACATCTTGGGTGTGGTACCTCTTCTGTGCCGAATTTCAGTATACCCATTCCATCTTTGATGTTCTTTGAATCAATTTCTACTTGTTCATTTGTGTTCTTTAGCATATCAAAAGATGATGGAAGATGAAATTTTCTGTTGAGTTTTCACATTTTTTGGAAAACTTTTCTTGCTTTTCCTTGTCTGTTTCAGTGGCTTTACAGAGGTTGTGATGTTGTTTGTCTCTTGAGCTCTGTGAAATTCTTTGCTATGTTTCTTTCTAAAATCTCCACATACTTTGGCTTTGGATTCCTTTTTCTTTTTGCCTATTTCCATCAGAGCGTATGCTACCTAGGTTGCTTTCATCTTTTTCTTGATCTTTGGCAGTGTGTTTTTACATTTATTCTTATCATCTTATTGGATTTAATTCCATAGTTCCTCTGGCTTCTTATCAGTGAGCTTCACATCTTCAAATCAATTCCTCAGGTTCTCCTTGAAAATGGTTGGTCGCTTAAGATCATACTCTGGAAACCGGAACATTATCATATGATCACTACATTCAAGAGTATAGATAGGAGAATTCAGAAAAAGCCTGGAGAATAGAAGTATAGTCCCTATTGTCAGGCACAAGGAACCAGAAAGACAATCTGAGATAAACAAGAATTGCTTCTTTATTGTTGTCTACCTATTTACAAAAATCTTACCTGACTAACTATATTCTCTTAGGAACGGTTAGATAAAGACTTCAAGAATTCTGGCTGGCTTATGTCACTTCCTTCCCTGCACAGGTTTTTCATTCCTCCCCTCACTCTAGCTGGAGATTCTACCACACTATTCTGAAATGTCAATGTATTTCTTTTATGTATAAAAATGCAGATTTATGAGAAAAATAAGCCTTAAACTATTGCTACATTGGGATAGAGTGAGAGAGCAAAGGAAGAGTGAATGGATCAAAGTTCAAATAGATCTCCCCATGATCTGCCAATGTGTGAAATGAATGTTATGGATCTACTGGGCTATCTTTGGGAAATGAGATGATAGAAAACAAGAGCCGCGTGTGCATATAGCAAAATCAGAAAATGAAACAAGCAGAGATCTGAGGACTATGATAATTGTTAGATATTATAAGTGGAAAAAGAAGTATTCAAAGAGGAAAGATGGAGAGAATTGAGTAAGCATCCATAAAAAATATGGGGAAACTTTGGGCATAAGGAGAAGTAGATTAATTCTTAAATAAATTTTCAGGGGCCTCTAGACAGTTGTACATAGCATTCTGTTAACCCAAAAATACCTTAAAACTGGATTGTCATCGCTTTATCTTTACCAATTCAACAAATAATTATATTTTTGGAGTTCTTTCATGTAGTTCATTATTCAGTTTTACTCCAGCTAAAAACAGAAGTTAAAATGGATATAATGATACCACTGAAATGGTAGAAGATTTTCACTATTCCGAAGCAGTCACTTTTAGCTGGAGCGAGAATTCCTTTTTGTATTGTTGCATTGCAGGAGAGGGTAGATCAGAGAACTCTAAACAGATCCATCAAAATTATCAGGCCCTAGAGACCCTTTAAAATTTTAAACTGGTCCTCATTAGAAAAATGAAATTCAAATCATACACTGCCCCACTGGGTGAATATAATGTAGCGCTTTTTTTTTTTCATCAAAGCAGCTTAGCAGTATTTTGAAAATCTTTTTATCTAATTAAGCTAATAGATGTGACTGTTATTTCACTTTTTATGCATGTAGTGATTTTATTGTGGGTTTTAAAAGCTGCGTCTAATACTCCCTGTCTTGCCAACAGGTTATTTAATAATCCCCACCCAACCCCTAACTTTTTACATATGCAGCACTGACATTTTTTATCTGCTTCTCCTAGTGAAATTTCTCACAAAACTCCTGGGTACATCTAAGATCGTTTGGTACAACTGTAATTTCTTTTGGGTGGGCTATCAAGCACCTTCAGGGATCAATGATCCATCTCGTTCAATGTTTATGTGTTACAGGAAGTAGGGTGCTGGCATAAATCAATTGTTAGTTCAATCAGAATGGTCTGTGCACCAGTGGTGGGATTCAATTTTTTTTTACTAATGGTTCTGTGGGCGTGGCTTGGTAGGCATGGCATGGCTTAATGAGCATGGCTTGGTGGGCGTGGCAGGGGAAGAG